TTTTTTCTTTTTGCTTATGTGGTGCTGAGGAATCGAACCCAGGGCCTCAGGCATGCAAGGCAAGCGCTCTACCACTGAGCCACTTTCCCAGCCCTATGTTATTATTTTTATTAAGACATGAGAACTCACTATATTGCCAGGCTGGTCTCAAATTCTGGGTTCAAGTGATCCTCCTGCTTCTGACCCAAGGAGCTAGAACTAGAGGTGCACACGAGGCCTTTTAAATTAGATATGAGGCTCACATTCTGTATCTAATGGATATTCGGCTGCATGTCGGATAGTTAGAGCTCTTGCCCCAGGCCACTCAGTTTCCATACCTCTAATGGCTGAGTCTATCTCTACTACAGACTCTTACTCCCGAACTCCAGGCAGGAGATTGGAAGATTCTATTCAGAGGTACAAAACAGCCCCAGACAGACAAAGGGCCTAGAGTTAGCAATATTGGGACACCCTCCTCCTCTAATCCACTGGCCATTTCCAGGCCAGCTCCCTTGTGACAGGGCCCTCTCCCCAGAACTTTTGATTGGCTCTGAAAAGACTCATTCTTAAATATGGACAAACAGCTAAGGTCACTGACATCTGATTACATAAAAGACTAGGCACAAAACAACCAGAGAAGAGGAACTAAGAGGAAACCAAGTGGGGAACAGAGGGAACTTGAACAAAACAACTCTAGGGAATATCATCAAAGAGACAGACATGATTGCGTTTATATGATACAGACAGGAAGCTGTGAACCAGGAGCAGTCAGAGAGTAAGAAAGAAGGCATGGACTATAGATGACCAAATCAAAAATTCAGTCAGTGAGTTGAAAAAATAAAGACTAGGAATCTCCCAGAAAGTAAAACAAACAAATAGAAAACAGTGGAATGTAAAATAGGAAATTAGAACACTAGGGGTTTATTCCAGGATGTGCACCTTCTGACAAAAAGAAGTTTTGGATAGGAAAGAATAATAACTGAAGGGAAACAAATGATCCTGCAGATAACACAGGAATGCTTCTAAGAAAGGAGGATTTGAATTTGCAGATGAATGGGCCACCATGGAAAAAAAAAGATCTCGATTGGCCCACATCCCTGTGACATTTCAAAACAGAGAAGATTCCATGTTTTTAATTAATTAACTAGTTTTTGGTGCTAGGAGTTGGACTCTGGCTTTGCATATGCTAGATAAATGCTTTGTCAGTAAGTCACACCCTCAGCTCTGGCATCTGATATGTAAAAAGTTAGTAAAAGGTTCAAGAATTGCATGCATTTCCCACAACTTCAGATGCCAAAGCACAAGGCCTTCAAAATTCTGAGGGAAAATGTTTTTCAACCTGATGTTCTATGCACCAGTAAATGACAACTTAGAGGTAAAAGTGGAATAAAGATATTTTCAGATATGCAATGTGAAAAAATGTTCCTTCCAGGGTCCTCTGTGTCAGACATGACCTGGAGGATGTGCTCCAACAAAGAAGTAAACCAAAGAAGGAGTCAAGAAGTAAGCAAGTATAGCTGTGCTGTCAACTTTGGAAAAAGTATCCCGGTTTACCATGTTGAGCTGGCATTGTACAGAAAGTAATAGCCATATTGGTCTAGAAACATTAAACTTATTTTTTTTCCATTTGTACAGGGGTAAATGCACTGTATTAAATTAAGATCTTATCTACGTGGGTTTGATTACAGAAACTAATAAAGTATTCTCTAAATACAAAACAGAAGTAAAGAACATAGGAGTTATAGAGAGGGATGAGGAGAATTCTGATTGATGTGGGCTTTGAGCTTAGTAAGTGATGCTCCAAATTGGGCAATGTTCTGATAGTATCAGTTGTATAATGCAAATCCTAGAACTCTGGGACTGCTAGTGATTGCAGATGACCACTAAGCTCCACAAGGCCCTGTGGGCTGAGGTTATGTACTAGTCAAACGGACAAGGTTCAGAAGCAGGATACTGTAGTCTGTTCTGCCAGCTAAGGTGGCTCTCTGCTCATCTGATGGAAGACAAGACCCTAGGATATAAGGATTTAGAAAAGCAGAAGAGTCAGTGGAAGGCATTCCTAGCATGGAACTTGACAATTAAAGGCACCTGGAAAAACCAAATGAAGCTAATGACTGGGGCCCATGACTATTTCTCTGTAAGCCTTTGAGTCACTCACAGGAACTTTCTGCCAAGAGCTTAAATGTATGCTTATCAAATGAACAGTGGAGATGGATGGATAGATGAATGGATGGACATGGTTATAAGTGGATGCATGGATGGATAAATGGTTGGAAGGGAGTGGACATATAGATAGTGGTTGATCAGACTGGTGTGTACACAAATAAGGTAGATGGATAGAGGATGGATGGACGGATGTTAATTGATGCATGCATGATGTGCAATACTATTTAGGGTGGAGTTTGTTTTCTCTTCGAATTAAAGAATTAAGAAGGCAAGAAAGTGTTTAAAGGAAACTGAGGACATTCATTTAAGAGTGAAAGGAGAAATGGGAGCAGGTGGCTCATTCATACCTGTACTCCTACCTACTCAGACAGCCGAGATCTGAAAGCATATGGTTCTAATGTAGCCCAGGCAGGAGTGTCTATGAGACTCTTATCTATAATTAACCACCAAAAAGGCAGAAGTAGAGTTGTGTCTCAAGTGGTGGAATGCTAGCCTTGAATGAGAAAGTTCAGGGACAGCACCCAAGCCCTGAGTTTAAGCCATAGAACCTACACACACACACACACACACACACACACACACTCATAAGGAAAGAAGGAAAAAGGAAGTAACAAAACAGTCCTTCCAAAGAGTGGGGAAACCCATAGGTAGGTATAGACAATCTTTTTGCCTGGGCCTGCCATATATATGACCTTCCTTCCCCTTCCTCTTGAGGGAGTGCATTTTCAGTTTGATTGATTAACCAGTATCCATGCACGCTGGAGTCTTTTCTGATTGGACATCCCTCCTGGCTGCCTGAGCCTGGGCGTTCCCTTCTGATTGGATCCCCCAATCCCTTGGAGCACAAGCTTATCTTCTTCCACCTTTCCTTCTGTAAAGTGCATGTGTCAAAGTATTGGAACCTGCATGGCCTGATGGGAACAAAGCTTTTTGTATCATTGTTTCCTGCCATATTAGCTGCTTTCCCAGTTGCTATTTTCTACCCCTAATTGCATATCAGCTAACTTTCTCTCAGGCAGATATATGGATATTTGTTGATAGTAGAGTAGGAGTTAAAGGGCTTTGGTTATCAATAGGTCTTGGTTTGAGGCCTGTGTATAGCATGAGTTGTGATCTCTGAGGGGCTTGTAATCTATACAGTGCTAAATTCAGTGCCTGGCACATAGTAAGTTCAATAAATGAGAGTTGTTGATATTTTCCTTGACCAGAAAGGAGCTGTCTTACACTGGTTTCCTCTCTTTCATAGAAAACTAGTTCCTGATGGCCTTTGGGAAGCCATGTGGTTTGAGTGACTTGCACAAATCAGCCTTCTGTCAGGTTTCTGTGATTGGTTCAAGGATGTGTATGTGATTTAAGTGGTCCAATCAGAGGGAGCCTCAAGTTGCAGGGAATGCTACCTTGTTTGTTTCTCCTTTCCCCCAGTGCTGGAGATCAAATCTCAGGCATCTTGTTTTTCTTATTGGGTCTCGGCACCAAGAAAACTGTATTCTGGTGGCTGTTGCTGGCAGACAAATGGGAGCCCCAACCCCAGGATAAAGCTGATGTTACAAAAAGCAAAGTACAGACAGAAAGAAACATTGTTAAGCTGATAGAAGATTCCTCTTGGAGAAAGTGAGTGATCTCTAGATTTGTCAGTTACTGGGCCAATTAGTACTTTATCTTATTTTTTTACTCTTTGGTACAGTACTTTTCACAGCATGAACTCAGGATCTTCAGCTCTCCTGTAACTTTTTTGCTCAAGGCTGTCACTCTATCACTTGAGCCACAGCTCTACTTAGGAGTTTTTTGCTGTTTAATTGGAGATTGAGTCTCTTGTCCATCTGAGTTGTCTTGGAACCATAAACCTCAGATCTCAGCTTCTGGAGTATCTAGGATTACAGGCATGAGCCACCAGATCCCAGCCAATTTCCCTTATCTTTAAAGCGTATCTGAGCCAGAATTTCTACCCCAGCAGTTGAGAATATCTTGCTCCAGATAGGAAACCAGAAAGAGGACACATACATGGATTATCTGGAAGATAAAACATTCAGTGATGGTTTAGAACCAAATTATAAAAGGCTTTAGATGTCAGAAATTGCACCTAAATTTTAGCTATTCCTAACCATTTGGCAGATAAGAAAATTGAGGCCTGAAGGGTTCAACATCAGGCAACTTGTGGAGCTGGAACTAGAAACCAAATCCTTCTGACCCTCAACTGGATGCTCTGTCCTATACATCTAAGAGTATTACACCATGGAGAAACATACCCCATCCAAGGGTGACAAATCCTTGCAGGCACTTCTTTTCTGAGAAGAAGGAGATGGCCAGGAGTGTGTGAAGGTAGAGGCCTTCCACCAGCAACCAGGCATAGTTGGCCATGATGCAGTACTGGAAGAAGATCATGACCAGTTTACAGCCCACCTAGACAGAAAGAGGCAGGTAAGCCCAGACTCAGTGATGACGGTGAGCCCCAAAGGAAGCAATCAGATGCAACAGGAGGCAGACCACAGAGACCTCTGGTAATACGAGGAGGGGCCAGAAGATAAGTCTCCTGACATCCAACCTGTGTCTCTTATTCCATCCTGGAGAGACATAGATCCTATTAGAAGCACTTCTCAGTCTCACTCAGAAACACCACACAGGCACATGGGTGCATGTGCACTCTGCTTCCCCACCTCCTCCCTGAACCAGGAACACTACAAACAAATGTGAGAGTGGTAGGAAGTGACAAGCACTTTGGCTATACCAATCTAAAAAACAAACTCCTCAATTTCTCAGCTTCCTTTGTGGTTATGTGTGATCACATGACATAGCCAATATTTTTCCTTTGACCTACCTTCTTGCCCAGTACATGAAAGGAACCTAGAGCTGGAGCAGCCATATTTGCAATCATGTGATGTAAAATCTGCAGTCAAAGGACTATATTACATTTATGGAAGAGAAGAAAGAGGGGAAGGCTATGTCCTCTACAATACCTCACTGTTTACTTCTAGATTCCCATCTGGGGGCTGCTTATATGAGCAACTATCCTTATCTGTGGAAATGATGAATTACTCTCTGTTATTTGCAGCAAAAGAGATCCCCAGGTGACACAGAGTTAATATAGTGGGCTAGGGGTCACCTGGGCATTTGAATTTAGCAAATTGCACAAATCTGTATATACAGTCATACTGGCACAAGCTCTTGTTTGTTTAAGTCAATCCCAATCTTTTTCAAACTTGGTCATCTCACTTAAAAAAAACAAAAATCAACCTCAATCTTCTCCAGCCTTGCTCATCTGTCTACAGCTAGGAGCTGACAGGAGTCTGTGAAAGAGAAGTCTCATTTCAGCTCTACTGCTAGAGTGGCTAATTCATTCCTGGACGCTGGAGTTAAAGACAGCCCCGCCACTTCCCAACAAACACATGACTCTGGCTTTGTGTTCTGAGCGGAATCTCCCAGAACTTCCAGCCTTGGCCCCTTTCCCCATCCCCAGCAGGAACCTGGGGGAAGGGCAACTATGTTACACGCTCTCCAGAGTTGGGCTGGGGAAGGGAAGGCAGGCCCGACAGTACCCCAGGACACCCAGGCGTGTTACCAGGTGGGGATCACAATAGGTGACGTCATCCGAGGAGAAGAGCACAGCATCCTTGATGAAGTTGGACAGGGCCCTCAGGATGAAGGACACGAACAGGTGCATGTGGATGTAGTTGCGGGTGCAGTGCAGCCTCCTGCTGGGGAGAATGCGGGGCTGCCATGCCACCCACAGTGGGAGAGGCTGACGCGCAGCCAGGACCACGCACGCGCAGTTAGTGCACTAGCGCAAAGGAGGCCTCGCTGCAGGCACTGCTCACCAGGGCCCCAGGGGTCCACAAGCGTTCTAGGGGCCCAGAGCATTCTGTGGACTACTATGGTTTGGAAATAACTGGCAAGGGTTGTAGGGACAACATATATTCTGTCCTAACCTACAGTCCTAATCTCCAGCCCCAGAAAGTTTCCTATATGTGTAAGACCCGATGTTACTTGTTCCCCTTCTTCTGGCACTAGGAACATGACTTTTCATGAAGAATCCTTCTAGTTCCAGATAAGGATCGACTCCACCCTCCTTGCTCTCACGACTGACTTGACCAATCAGACTGCTCCATCCCTGGTCATAAGGATTGGCTCAGAATTGGGCATGTGGTCTAAGGTGGATCTAGACTCGGAGACAGAGGATTTTTGCTCTGTTTTGCTGAGCTGTTAAAATGTGCTCCTGCAGGCTGGTGGTGGTTGATATCTCTTCCATTCCTGCAGAGAGGCAGGCCGAAAATGGTGCCAATGCAGAGCAGAATAAAAGAGAGTGCCAGACCCAATGAGCATCTAGCCATGCCTAAAGCAGGCATCCCAACTGTGTCAAATACACAAGTCAGAGCATCTTTGTTTTCTAAAGCTGTTTCATAGTGGAATGCTGTCTCTTGCAATTGAGACTCTGACTAGTCTACCTGTAAACTGGAGGTGATACCTATTATATATTTTCATTATCATACAATAATACCTAGTATATAGAAATAATGCATGTAAAGCAACTGGGTGCACTGGGGCCTCGGGAATGTTTAGTAACTGTTGAATGAACAAAGGAACAAATATGGGAATGAATGCTGCCACAGGAACTTCCCTGTTGCACCACAGATAAGCTTTACATGGAGAGATGACAAAGCAACTCACCCAGACCTTCCTCTTTCTCTCCTGAACAATTAAGATGAGACCTAAAGCCAGTGCCCAGGGAGGGTTGTGGAGATGGAGAGCTACCAGCATATTCTCACCGGAAAGCACACAGGATGCTGAGGGCGGCCAGGAGCATCACCAGGGAGGAACTGTAGCCCACTGTGTACATGACCTTCAACTTCAGCAGATACTCGTGCTGCAGAGGAAGACACAGGTCAGCCCCACCTGGCCATGGCTGGCTCTTCTATGCCTCAGTGAACCCATTCAGGCAGTATGAGCCCGCCAGCCCTGTATTCTGTTCACACACTCAACACATCATAACCCCTTGGCTTTGGTAAAGCTCTTAGGGATCATCCAATGCCCACTTAGTTTCTCCATCCTATGCGCAAGTCCCTAACTCACTTTCTGAATTCAAGTCTTTGCTTATGCATATCTCTAGAGACTCTCTACCTCTTTTGTTTTGTTTTGTTTTGTTTTGGTCCGGTCGTGGGGCCTGAACTCTGGGCCTGGGTGCTGTCCCTCAGCTCTTCTGCTCAAGGCTAGCGCTCTACCACTTGAGCCACAGCGCCACTTCCGGCTTTTTTCTTTTTGCTTATGTGGTGCTGAGGAATAGAACCCATGGCCTCAGGCATGCAAGGCAAGCGCTCTACCACTGAGCCAACTCCCCAGCCCCGAGACTCTCTACCTCTTGAGAAAGGTCATTTGGTGTACAACAGCACAAAGTATTAGATTTTTCTGGTGTGAAGTTAAAACCAGCTACCTTCTATACTGTATCTGGTGATAATTTTATGTTTTCTGGAGCCACTTACAATGAGCTGGATTTGTTACCAAGATTATATAGAAGCCTATAGTTTTCCAACTCATCTTTGGATTCATTTTCTATGCCTTTAGTCTCCTTCCACAGTCCTCTCATCACATTGGGCTCCAATCTGTCAATGTTCTTCAAGAAGACTCCCAGAGCCTCGTAGCTGAAAAGCTCTAGGCATGTTCACTGACCAGGAAGAAGACGTGGGGGCCTTCACCTTCCCTCTGCAAAATGGGGAAAATGAATCTACCCTACTAGGTTTGCTGGAAGAATCAATAAGATATCAAGCTATCTAGGCAAAGCCTGACATTCAGATCTCTTCTAATCGGGTGCTGAACGCCACCATCCACCCTGCTGGTATGAAGTCTGAGATCTGAGGTAGCTGCTAAACTCTGGCCTGCTCTCAGTTACACTGATGGAGTGCTGTGAGCAGCTGGCCATGCTGGAATGTTGAGAGTGTTGTGACCAGTCTGGGTGTGTTATTTTAAGAGACACATTAATAAGCCAGACACTTCTGGAGGACAGTGATTGTGTCATCTGAGCAAGGCATGAAAAGTTCAGGTATGTTGTACCCGGAGGGGAAAACAACTTAGGGAAGAAAAACATTGGTATGACTGACATGGAGACAAAAGGACAAGATTTTGTGTAGGAGCCTCAGTGGGGAGAAGTTATATGAAAATAAGTAGATGTTGACACAGAGAAACCAAAATTTCTTTGGCGGCAAGAGGTGACCTTCTCCGTGATGGCTGCTATAGGACACTGGCCTGACTCCTTTCCAAGAAGGCAGGAGCCACTTCTCCGGGAGGAAGGGATTAGACCCTAAGGGAAGTGACTTGCCTTAGGTTAATTAGATTCCTAGACTAATTAGATTAGATTCCTAGATTCCGTAGATAAATGGTCCCTAGAATTTCAGACACCAAAGACGTGTGAGGTTTCCGAAAGCTGGGGGCCAACATGTCATCTGCTAATCTTGCCATATCCAGGATGAGCTCCACAGAGGACAGCACCAGTTTCATCCTGGGGGTGCTTACCGCAGCCTGTAGGAGTCTGAGGGGACTGGGGTGGAGATACAAGGTGTACCCAGGCAGGTGTGGCTGTGGTCACTGCCACCAGATGACCTCAGCACAACTCTCCAGACTGCCTTCTGTCTGTAGGGTCTGATCCAAGAAGAGTCCTGCTCCCAGGAGTCCTTGTGTGACCCTTGGCCCTTCAGCTCTTGACATCTTCAGCTGTTCATTGCACCCCCCTTTTCATCCCTCCTCACCGAGGACTTGGGACCCAAGAGCCCCCCTGCCTGTCTCTATTACAAAACCTTAGCTGTACCACCCCCTGTCTCAAATCAGTTGGCAGCAAGAGTTTCCTGTAAGGGGCAGACAGTAAACGTTTTAGGCTTTGGGTGCCATGCAGTCTGTTTCGCAACTACTCTGTCCTTGTCATCCAAAAGCAGTGGCAGGGTACAAATGAGCTTGGCTGTGTTCTGGTAAAACTTTATTTACAAAAAAACAGGATGGAGTTGGCCAAAAGGCTATAGTGTAGTAAGCGTAACTAAGGACGTTGAATAGAAAAAGTGCACCTCCTAGGAAATGCCCTTCTTAATGGGAAGGCAGCAGAAGATGAGAACAGAAAACTGGTTCTTTCAGAGGCTAACCTTGGTTGAAGCCCCATGTCTACTACTTTATATGCATGTTCCTTCCCTCCTCCAATCCTCAATTTCCTCATCTGCAAAATGGATCTTCTCCATGAACATATGAGCTTTTGTTCAATTATGTTCAAGAACTTTCAGGCTTATTTTGATATCTAATGTCATCCTCCATCAAGCAGCTGACCGGCTACAGACATTCCGAACAACAAATGCTTTTGGGAGGGGTAGAGGGTGCTGAGGATTGAACCTAGGGCCTTGGGCACAACAGCAAACATTGATCAGGCACTTTGGGGCTGCCTGACATCGTGCTGGGCACTGGAGGGCCTGGAAATAATTAACATTCCTTCTGATTTGTCACTGCAGGAACCCTACACCTAGATTCAGACCTGGCCTATAATAGGTGCTCAGTAAATGTTTAAGTAGACAAATTCCTTTGAGGAGCTCACACTTAGGAGAGGGATGGAGCCACATAGCAGACACTGGACATTTGAACATGACATGACAGGTCATAGTCAGGGGCCAGCTCCCAGTATAAGAGACCCTTTCTTGGGGAGGGGAAGTGAAGGCTGGACCACAGTGAAATGCTGAAAGGTGTATACAATTCTGTGAGGAAAAGAGAGGAGGGAAAGTGGTATTGGGACAGGAGGCCCTTGTGGGAGGAAGGATACAGAGTGTATGTGAGCTCTGAGAGACTGGGCTGTCCTGGGAAGGGACATACTTGGGCTGGACCTTGACAGGGACCGGGGAGCATCTGGACATCCTGAAAAAGATCCACTCACCTTGAGATCAGAGAGAGTTTCCTCTTTTGGACTAGACCTGTCCCGCACCCAGCTCTGTCACTGCTTGTTAGAGCCGGAGGTTTTGTGGGCACACATTTATTGAGAAATCTCTATAGCCAGGAATACATTTCTGCATATCCATAAATCAACTCCCTCAGGTTTCTTGACCAGCCTGTGTGGACAACACTATAACCCTCATTTCCAAGATCAAGAAACAGAGGCACATTTGGGCACCAATGGCTCATGCCTATAATCCTAGCTGTGCAGGAGGCTGAGATCTGAGGATCACTAAGCCAGCCCTGGAAAGGAAAGTTTATGAGACTCTTATCTCTAATTAACCAGCAAAAAGCCAAAAGTAGACCTGTGGTTCAGGTGGTAGAGTGCTAGCCTTGAGCAAAAAAATCTCAGGGACAACTCTCAAGCCCTGAGTTCAAACTCCAGGACACAGACATACACACACACACACACACACACACACACACACACACACAAATATACACATATGTGCTGCGGCACAGAGCAATTAGGTCCTCCCCAGCCCTACTGAGATCAAGTCTGGATTTCTTTTTTTCTTGTCAGTGCTGGGGCTTGAACTCTAGGCCTGGGTGCTGTCTCTCAGCTCTTCAGCTCACTTGAGCCACAGCACCACTTCTGGTTTTCTGGTAGTTACTTGGAGATAAGAATCTCACAGACTTTCCTGCTTGGGCTGGCTTTGAACCATGATTCTCAGATCTCAACCTCCCGAGTAGCTAGGATTACAGGCATGAGCCACTGGCACTGGGCAAAATTCTTTTATTTTTTAATATATATATTTTATTTTAAAGATAAAGAGGGGTTACAGTTACATGAGTAAGGTAATGGGTACATTTCCTATCAAGCATTGTTACCCCCTCCTTTGTTTTCCTCTTACCATCCCTTTCCTCCCCACCTCCCCAAATCCTCCCTCCCCCTCCCCAACGCTGATTCAGCAGCCTGGCTCTGAGCACTTCTTCCAGTGTCGTGAGTAAATCCCTAAAGTCTTGCAGTGTTATTTGACCCTGCTCATAAGGCCTGGGGTCCTCTTTCACTTCCTAGTTGATAGACCCAGGCCATGAAGCAGATCATTGAACTCCAGGTGGCCAGGGCAGGTGCAGGGCTGAGGGCAGCCCTCCAGATCCTTAGCTCTGATCCTGGCTTCCCATTCTCCTTAAGACCTCCCCAGGCCCCACCTACCTGCCCCCCCCCCAAGCCCAGAATCAGCTTACCCGTTTATCATTGGAGGAATCATTCACGTTGACCCCACAGGCTAGGTCAGGCCTGGGGAAGGTTTCTGACCAGCCATCTTGGGTGCAGTTTCGGAACAGGGACCCTGTGGGTGTCAAGGTCCTGCACATGAACACTGACATCGGGCTTAAAATCCATGGTAACATGCAAACACCTCACCCATTTGGTGGATGGGGAAAGTGAGGCATACAGTACCTACATAACTTGCCTAAGACTCCTCAGTAGGAACTGGGGAAGGAGGATTAGAACTCTGGAATTCAGACTCCAGGGCCCTTACTCTCCCTCAGAGGTGGTATACTAATGTCCTTTCTTATTCTCTTGACCCCAGGTCTTGCCACCATGTAACAGGAGAGAACTGTGTGAGAAAAAGCATTCTTTTCTGTCAAACTAAAATGTATTTGGTATTGTGGACTGATGATCACTCCTGGAATTATTTATTTACTCCAGTTGTTACCTGTACTGCTTGTTACCAGCTATCCATGTTGGGGAGACCAATCTTGTGTTAAAGAAGTTAAAAATAGGGCTGGGAAGGTGGCTCAGTGGTAGAGCGCTTGCCTTGCATGCATGAGGCCCTGCGTTCGATTCCTCAGCACCACATAAACAGAAAAAGCCGGAAGTGGCGCTGTGGCTCAAACGGTAGAGTGCTAGCCTTGAACTGAAGAGCTGAGGGACAGCGCCCAGGCCCAGAGTTCAGGTCCATGACCAGCAAAAAAAAACCCAAAAAACAAAAAGAAGTTAAAAATAATAAACTGTAATTGCTAAGTGAAAAAAGAAAAGAAAAGTAAACCTTTGACAGGAATTAAAGAATGGCCCCCTTTCTAACCTTGGCAATGTATTACACTTAGCCTGTGAGCCTAACTCTTTGACAAGAAGGAAAGAGAATTTGGATTGGGAGAAAAGCCTAGCAATTGCCTGCCTAACTGTAGGTAGAGTAATGCCACCGCACCCTTTTGTGTGAAAATAAATGAATTGCCTTGATTGAAATCTTCTATATCTCTTGTATGTACATTCATTTCTGACGCCAGAGAACCATGCATTTCTAACACCTGGAACATCGGGGTGGTTGGTTAGGATGTGGCCACTCATACAATGAGCGCTGGTCAGGCTCTGTGGTTATAGCCCGGCTCCAAGGAAGTTTTCTTTTATCCCCAAACTCACACCCTGCTCACCTGGCCTTTTAGAAGCCATCAGAGTGAGGGCCACCAAGATGGACCCTCCGAGACAGCTGCCTTTCACAGATGGATGGAATTATTAGTCCTTTAGCCACGACAACAAGCCCTCTGTGGAGACAGCTGCAATTCTGGCCTCCAGTCCCAGCTTGGGGCTGCGGCTGACCCTTCTTACCCCATGGGAAGTGGGTATCCTGCCCCCAGGCCTAGCCCAGAGGCCCCCCCCACCTCCTTGGAATTGCTGGACAGAAAGCCAATGAGTGGTACCCCTGCTGAGCTTCTGGTAGAGAAGAGGGAAGATAAGCCCATTGCAACTATCTGTGTATGTGCACACTTGTACATATGCACATGTGTGAACACATGCCCATGAGCACATTACTGGGGATCTCATTCAGGGCCTCTACTGCTGAGCTCAGTCTCCAGCCCTTAATGGAGCTTTTAAAGCCAGAGCCAAAAACATGGAAAGGAAGCTGCCAGGCAGGAAGGAAGGCTTGCAGGCCTGAATGGCTTGTTGTGTTCTGTGCTCCGAGCTGCCAACGAAAGCCAGGATCTGGCTCCCCAGCGCTGGCCAGTATGCCAACCATCACAGGGTGAGGGCACAATCATTGAGTCCCTGTGGATGGAAATCCTGCCTGAGGGTCCCTGACAGCCTTAGCTGGACCTGGTTTGCTCCTCTCCCATGGCCCCATGGAGCTAGGCTGCCTGCCACTCAGAGTTCAAGGATACATGGGTTCCACTGAGCTGGAGAGGCCCAGCTAGATGGCTGTTCTAGAACCAACCATTGAGCTCAGCACTTTATGTTCAGGTTCTGATCCAGCCCCCATAGTGTCTCAGTGAGGGGAGGGATGCCTGCTGTACAGACCAGAAAACTAGTTTTGGACCTCAGTGTCAAGCTAGCATGTATCCCATTGCTTTGGTCCTTCTACCTGGCCCTTTGGTGTGGTCTTAGAGGTGGTTTCTAGTCCTGGGATACTGTCCTTTGGACTCTGGAGATGCCCAGCCTCTGAAGGCTTGGGGGTGCCTGGAGTACAGGCTTAGAAGCAGCCAGATCAGAATTTGAAATCCAGAGCTAGCTCTTGGCTAAATGACCTCACATGCATGTGTTTCAGTACCGTAATAGGAAGTACCCTCCAGGGGAGAGGGAACAGGACACCGGCACAGGACACGTCCAGGTGGTGCCAGCACAGAGTGTCACAGTATTAGACCAGGGCACATATTCCCCTTGGCCTTTCCAAAAGGGGGAGGAAATGGGCAAGTCATGGAGTCTTGAAATTCAAGGGAGGAACCAGAAGTTATCAGACAGCGCATGCCCAGAGGACAGCTCTGTGTGGGCTCAGCCAGGCACAGCCTATCTGTCTGTCAGTCTGAGGCTTCTCTTCATAGACCCAGCACTATCCCCAAGCGATCTGCATGTGACCCAGGCTTGTACCCAGAGCGGCTATTAGGACAGAGCCCCAACTAAGGGAGCCACATTGCAGGACTGCCTGAGGTAGGGGGTTTCAGGGGTCTTGTCGACCCCCCCCCAGTTCCCCTGGGATTTCATTCCTAATAGGTAAGAGGTCCTTATACAGAGACCTACCCCCCCCCCCCCCCCGTCAGTGCCTGCCCCCAGGGAGCTCTGAAACACACCAAATGTGTTTGTGTATGCATAGACACACAAATTAGGAAGGAACTATCCAAGACTTTCATCTGGTTCTCAGATCTCCTGGTCCTGAAAGCTAAATGACCCATTGCTACTAAGCCAGAGAGAAAAAAGGTCCAGGGTAACCAACCCTGCCCAGAAATGTGTTCTTTTAAAATAAGGAATTCTAGAAGACCAAGTATCCTTTTAAGAATCAAAGGAATGTCTCCTAGGGGAATTTTCTAGGCCTGGCGTGAGAACTATCCAGGGCAGAATGCAGCTGGCAGTTTCTCCAGTCACAGGGACGTCGATCTGGCCCAACCCATATGGGAGTGGGAGTGGGAGTGGGGGTGGGGGTGAGGGTGGGGTGCCTGGGAAATCATTTATTTATGAATCACTTCTAGAATTTATTTCTTTTTGCTCAAAACGAAAGTTCCATGCCAGGTGCCAGTGACTCATACCTATAATCCTAGCTACTCAGGATGCTGAGATCTGAGGATTAGGGTTCAGTCAGTGCCAGGAGGACAGTACAGGAAGCATGGCTCAGTGTAGATATGCAATCCTGTAGCGACACCATGTGGTAAGAAGATGAAACTGCTGCAGAACAAGGCATAGGGAGCCCAGATGTCCATCCTCAAGACACTCAAAGGGTTCAATGGGTTTTAATCATTTCAAGGATGAGGGTCTTAATAGGGGAAAAAATGGGCTTCTAGTTAGTGATGCCGGAAGAAGTTAAGAAGTGGAGAGAGACATGACAGGCTGGCACACAGGTCAGCCTGGGGCCACATGTGCTAGCTCCTCCTGGACGGTCTGCAGAGGATAGGAGGGGTTGAAGAAGAAAGCAGCTTTGTTCCACCAGGAACTCCAGGCCATCATGTGCTGCGTTCCTTCCACAGAGAAAAGAGCAACAGAGCCAACCAACTACAAACTGAAACATCCAAAACTGTGAATCAAAATAAACCTTTCCTCTTTGGGTTGATACTTTTGCCACAGTAATAGAAAGTTGATTAACATAGTCTCCATGGTCACCCTTACTTGCCTGGCTTTGGAAGACTGATGGGCCCTGGGGTCAAATCACCCGTTCTTTGATTTGTTCTTGTTTGAGTGCCTCATTGGGTTGACTGTTCCTGCCCTGCTTGGGTGATGGAGAAAGCATCAGGGCCAGGCCAAAGCAAGCTTTCCCAAGGACCCCATTGAGGGCCGGGGCTATTGAACCTTCCTTACCTTCTGTCAGGCTCACCCTGACTATAGGGCTAGAGATATACTTGGACCATGACCTCAAAGACAGAGCACCATATCTGAAAGTAGAAATCAAACTTGATTCTTAGTTTCTCCATCTATTTCTGTGAGTGTTGGGTAAACCTCTCTTAGTGTCAATTTTTACTACTAACTTTGTTTGTATTTGATATTGGGTAGACCAGGTCTCATCATGTTCCTGCCTCAGCCTCATGAGTGTTGCGATTATAGGTGTGCACTACCACACCTGGCTATATTTATTGCTTTTGTTTTTGTTTGCCAGTCCTGGGGCTTGAACTCAGGGCCTGGGCATTGTCCCTGAGCCTCTCTGTGCTCAAAGCTAGTGCTCTACCACTTGAGCTACAGTGCCACTTCTGGCTTTTTCTGCTTTTGTGGTACTGAGGAATTGAACCTAGGGCTTCATGCATGTGAGGCAAGCACTCTACCACTAAGCCACCTTCCCAGCTCCTATTTTTATTACTCTACAGAGTTGGAGGGCTAGTAGGAGAGGAGAAAAGGTATGTGACATGAAGGGATATTGTGATGACTTGAATGAGCTCATGTGAAGATCCCTGGCATGTGGTCAGCCTTTAACCAAATTAGTAAATTAAGAAAATCCTCACCAACTGCAGCTGACTTCAGATAAGGAGTCGCCATGAGGTCAGGATTCTCAAAAGATCACAGGTTATATCAGGAGGGCCTGGAGGAAGTGAGCCTTCTGAAGGTGAGCTGCTTGGTACCCTCCAGAAATGGAGGAGGGGTGTTTAGAGCAAGGCTGAGAGGGCAGACACATTGGAGGGAGCAGGGAGAAACAATTACAGCCCTGATGTGTGTGTGTGTGTGTGTGTGTGTGTGGTGTGTGTGTGTGTGTGTGTGCCAGTACTGGGGTTTGAACTCCAGACCTGGATGTTATCCTTAGATTCTGCACTGAAGGCAGCTCTACCACTTGAGCTATAATACCTCCACTTCTGGTTTGGGGGAGGTTAATTGGAGATGAGTCTTATAGACTTTCCTACCTGGGCTGGCTTCAAACAGTGATCCTAAGATCTCAGCTTCCTGAGTTGCCAGCTCCTGGCAGGGCTAGTTGATTTTTGTTTTTGTTTTTAACACCTTCTCCAGGACATTACCTCCTACCCCCTTCCTGTGGACCCTGAGAACTGAGCCTCCCACATGCCCAAGCAAGTCTCACCCCAATTATTTCACCCCCTGTGTGTCCCTACATCCTGGTCTCCTGCCTCTGGGCTGAGCCAGCATCCAGGGACCTCCCGGGGGGACTCTCTTCAGGCCCTGGGCCTGGGTACCGTTTCTGCCGGTGAGCATCTGGAAGAACCTGGGGCACTCCACTTCCACAATCTGTCCTGGTGCAGACGAGGGCCAGCAGCTCATGTTGTCCCACAGCCCCTCACAGCCTGTAGGGAAGAACCACAGCACGAGACTGAGATGATGCACGAGCCGCGGGCAGCCCCTCCCCCACCGTGTCCCACCCTCTTCTTCCCCAGGTCTCATCAGATAATTCCTAAGTCCAACTGAGGACTGACTTCTCAAATGTAAACTTTTTGTTTGTTTGCAGAACTTGAGCTCAAGAGCCAATGTTGTCTAATGAATGCACTTATTGTTTTTCTCTTCTGGGCCTGGGACTGTGACATTAAATGGTAGAGATGGAGACACACAGTCTCTCATGGAGGCTCACAAAGGCCTCAAGTTATGTTAAATAACTTATAGTACTGGGACTCACTCCTGGCTGTTCCAATCATGGTGCACCCTGGATCAAGGACTCAGGGCACCCCCAACATGTGCACAAACAGGCCTACGTGCAGGGAGTCCCAGGGAATTGGTCTGGGTGGGCCCCAGCCAATATCATGTGAAGCTTTTCAGTAATTCTAAAATGATGAGAAGACTTGTCCCATTCATCTTGAACTTCAGATTCTCTTTGGGGGCTCAGACCAGAGGTGGAGACTGAGAATGGGTGTTTCTCACCAGTTCCTGCATGGTTTGGCTGCCACTGGTGCCGCACCACACTGCCCGGCCCATTAGATCAGTCACCACAGCAGCTCACAGTGCTCTCCTTGAAAGAGCCCACAGTGGCCCAAGAGAATAGACTCAGAATAAAAGTCATAAAAAATGAAAAATGCCCAGCAGCCAATAAACCCCTTTCCATTTGTTTCCTTTCTATTTTTAAAGTCTCCAGCAGAGCATCTGTCCTAAGGCAAACACACCGCACCCTCAACTTCTTATCTCCAGCTTTGGGGGACAGAAAGAGGGCTCTACAGGCAGGTTTAAGGAAGGAGGAAGGGTGACCTGGATGATCAGGGTGGCATCTTGGCTATTTCCACATCGCCCCCTAGCCTAGCCCATGCCTGGCACACAGTCTTCTGCCAGCTGGGAATTCACCCCATGTTCACCCTCGGGACCCTCCATTTCTCAAGTTCAGATGCCCTCACAGTATTCTTGAGGCTGTTTCTGGAGCAGTGGGACCGACTGCCATGATGGGGCCAGGCTGGACTGGGCCATGGAGATGACAGGTGCTTCTCCATGCTGCTCCCGTTACCTGCTGAGGGTGAGACCAGCAGGGAGCCTGCAGCTCTTCCTGCCCTTGCCCCAACAGTGACATGTCCTCTTGTAAGTCACTCTTTCCTCCGCCTGGGGACCCACACAGCTATCTCCCAGGTACCTCTCCACCCTCTCCACCTATCCTTCTCTTCTTCAAGACCCCGTAGTGGTTCAGGACAGACTCTGCACAGCAGCCTGTCTGCAGCTTCATTATACCTCCTTTTACCTCCCTCCATCCTCATCCGCCAGCCCCAGCCAGCCATGGGTATGCCTGGGATGCTGTCCTTGGCTTCTCCATTGATCTGATGTGTAGACTTAGTCCAGAAGACAACTGCTCTCCCTTGTGACTGCTGCACTGCACACAGCAGTGGTGGTTGGGCAGGGACTGAGCTCACTCAAGTCCTCTAGGGCTTCAAAGGCATTTAAACCCATGCTGCAGGCACAGCTGGAGCCTGGGGCCATTGACCTCTAAAGCAGGGAGCATAAGCCACTCCAGAATGCACAGGCTGGGGAGGAGTGAGCTCTCCATCACTGAAGATATTCAAACAAGACTGGGAGAAAAGTCAGGTGCTGAGTGGAAGCTGGAATACAAGGAAGGAAGGATCTTCCTAGCCCGGGGTTGAAGCAGCTGTGTCCTCCCAGCAGGCTGTGCATCTCCTACCCAGCTCCTGAGCACCAGGGACTGGAAGCTAAGTCCTCCCTTCCCGGTGACTAGATGACCTGTCACCCTCTCAGGAAAGTCCCCATGTGCACCTCAATCTCCCACACCCCAGGCATCTTTCTGTCTCTGTCTCTCTGTGTCTCTCTGTCTCTGTCTCTGTGTCCTCTGTCTCTGTCTGTCTGTCTCTGTCTCTGTCTCTCTGTCTGTCTGTCTGTCTCTCTCTCTCTCTCTCTCTCTCTCTCTCTCTCTCTCCTCTCTAATGGAAAATTCTTCTTGGGAAGGTCAAGGTTATCAGTCACTCAGTCATTCCCAACTCAGTGGTAATGAGTTTTCTTAGACTGGATTATGAACTATAAAATGGTCAAGATTTTAAAGCTGAAGATCTGGGCTGAGTCCTGGTGTGCTATGGGCAATCTTAGGCCTCTCAGAGACTTAGTGGCTCATCTAGAAAATGGGGAGGGTAATAGTGTTGATGGTACAATTATTTTTTGTTATGGCTTATTTTTGTTGGTGGTGGTTGTTTTGTTTTTTGGTCTTGAACTCTGGGCCTGGGTGCTGTCCCTCAGTTCTTCAGCTCAAGGCAAGTGCTCTACCACTTGAGCCACAGCACCACTTCTGGTTTTCTGGTGGTTACTTGGCGATAAGAGTCATGGACTTTCCTGCCCAGGATGGCTTTGAACCACAATCCTCAGATCTCAGCCTCCTGAGTAGCTAGGATTACAGGCGTAAGCCTCCAGTGCCCAGCAATGGTACAATTATTTTAAACACTAAAAACTTTGCAAGCATGGTACTCAGTAGACACTAATGAGGAAAATGAACTATGCAACTTGTGCACAGGGATTGGAGGGGGAAACTGGGAGAAAGAGAAGGAAGGGATGACATTGTCCAAAAAGAAATGTACATGATCTTTACCTGACTTATGAAATGGTAACCCCTCTGAACATGTTAATAATAACAATAAAAGTATATTTTGAAAAAGAAATAAAAGCTGCCTGAAATGTTATATAAATTAAGTTTACTTCTACAGAATGAGTCAAGGTCTGTTGGGCTAGGAGGGGTTGGGCAGAGGAGAGCCGTGGGCAGTTGAGGGTCCCAGGTAAGGGAAGAGAGAGGCATGGCAGCACCAGAGTATCAGGAGCTGTGAGATCCAGCAGGAGCCAGCATGTGTGAAGTGCTGATGCCCACACACCGTGGATGACGCTAGAGACCCTTGCTCTCAAAGAGGGAAACAGGCAGAGAGGAAGGGTTATACATTGTATTTTGATGCCCAGAATTGGAACTCCAATTTGCAATTAGCAATTTGCCAGGAGCTGGGAGAGGAAAGGAAGGGGAGCAGATCCTTAGTGGACTTGGAGCTTTATTGAGGGATGATGAGAATGTTTTGGAAGTAGAGAGAGGGAATGTTTGCATAGCATTGTGGGTGTACAACTACCATGGGATTGATTGTGCTTATGAACGTGTGTGTGTGTGTGCTCACGTGCACACGCACGTGTGCCTGTGGTACTGGCTCTTGAACTCAAGGCTTTACATACTGGCTTAGCTTTTTAGCTCAAGGCTGACACTCTGTCACTTGAGCCACACCTCCACTTCTGGCATTTTACTGGTTAACTGCAGTTAAGAGTCTCATGATTTGTCTGCCTGGGTTGGCTTTGAATTTCAATCTTCATATCTCAGCCTCCTGAGGAGCTAGGCTTACAGGCATGAGCCACTGGCACCTGGCTGGGTTTGTACTTTTTTTTTGGTCTTGGGGCTTGAACTCTGGGCCTGGGCGCTGTCCCTTAGCTTCTTTTGCTCAAGGCTAGTGCTCTACTAATTGAGCCACAGAGCCCCTTAAGACTTTTTCTGTTTATGTGGTACTGAGGAATAGAATCCAGGGCTTCATACATGCTAGGCAAACACTCTACCACTAAGCCAAACTCCCAGCCCAAGATTGTACATTTTTAAGTGGTTGATTTAAGGTTGTATGAATTTTACCCAATGAACAAAGTTCAAAATCACTTAGGCCTGTTTCCTGCTACTCAGGCTTAGATTGGGCAGAGCCAAGAAGAAACAGGGCTGGTGTGCTCTCACTTGAAGGTGAGGGCACCGAGCCTCAGGCAGGACCAGAGTCTTGCTGGAAATCACATAGTACCTAAGTGATAGCATAGCACACAAGCCCAGGGTTCAGTCTGCAAGACTGCCACCACCCTTCTTCTAGAACAGTCTTTCCCTAGGGGAGAGCCAGAGCCCTTCTGTCAGCCGGCTGTGAGGAGGGTAGTAGCTTCTATAAACAGAGTAATAAATATCCCCTTGAGCAAGCCATGCAGCTATTAGGGTGACCCTGAAATGTTCCCACAAAAACCTGGAATGGCCTTGGCCAGTGAGCCCAGAATAGCTGAAGAGTTAATTTTTTATCTGTGAATGGCACTTCCTGCAACTTGTCTGGCTTTCCAACATTAACCTCCTCCCCAGGGAAGACAAGCAGTTTAGCCATTAACCCTGGCTCCCTGGGGGTGAGCCCCCCACCCCTCCATGGATCAGGGCCAATAGAGGACCCTTTGGCTGAGCTCCCAGGGGACCCGCTGGGGTGCCAGGCCTGGGTGAGGAGCACAGGGCTGAACTTGATCCCAGAACCTCTGTTTCAACTCCTCCAAGGTCATGTGTAAGACTCAGGACATGGTCCTGATGAAGATCTCCCCAACTGCTCTGCCTGCATTTCCTGACACCCCCCCACACACACACAAAAGGAAAAGCCCCTGTAAGAGTTGCAGGAATTGAGTCTACTCCTTGCATCGTGGAAGTCTGGAGGGCACCTGAAGTTTGTAGGAGACCCCAGCCAGCAGGATCAAGTCAGAGGCTGAGTCCCGATGCATAGAGCTGGCTCAATGCTCTTGTGGGTGGTCCAAGGAGAACCGGGGCTTCATCTCTGCCTGCCTGGGAGCAGCTGGGGACATTCACCGGTAGAGCCTTGGCTGCCTCCAAAGCCATGCTTAACTCTCACTCTTCCCTGGACACCAGATCTCTTGCTTTCTCCTTGCTTTCTTCCTGCTCTCCGTTGAGTTTCTGCACTTTATTAATTCAGTAAGTCAGTCAACAAACACTCAGTGCTTGGCCTGTACAGGCTCACTGTCAAGCACTGGAAAAGAAGAGAGAAGCAGCCCCACGTCTATCTGCAGTCTGGTAGGGACAGTCAGGCAAACTCATGTTCACAGGGCAGTG